CAAAAAGACTACAAGAGAGAATAATGAGGTATCAACATTTGTGTGTGCATGTTTTTAAACCTTTTTGCAAACTCTTTTGTTGAACAGCCTTGCACTGACCTACTTTCCCTGTTTTTATGTTTTATTAGCATCAATTATTCCATAATTTTTTAATGGACTCAGAACAAAGAATAACACAGAAAGGTGGATGTTTTGTGAGGAAAAGAAGACATGAATGAAGCTTTTTTGACACTGAAATCACCTCCCCTGCATGCTCTGATTCTCACCAGTCCTTTTATTTTGATGTATATTTGTAATTCTTCATAAAAAAAAAGATTCCTCAGACTCACATTAGAGCTTAAATGTTTTTTTGAATGGTAATTACACCCAACTTATTAAAAAATGTGTCATTAACTCAAGACATGCTGTTTAGGAGATACAGCAGTCTTTATTTTGGTATTCTGCCTTTTGATTAGGAAAAAAGTAATGTTTTTCTGTAAACACACCACCCAGATTAAAATGTGCAGTATTTAATGTTTAAAGACACAATTATGAACGTAAGTTGATGAGAATTTTCTGCAAAAGTGCAGAGTGAATGCTTAATGCTGAATTATGCAGTAAAAAAAGTTGTAGAAAAATAGCCAAAGTAAAACRGAAATTAGCAGAAAAGTAGCTGAAAAGGCTGAATCTAGCACAAGAAAGCAGAAAGAGCGCATGTTTGCTGAATTAAACAGCTGAAAAAGTAGTTAAAATTATCACGAGCTAGCTGAAAATTAGCTTAAATTGCAGGAAACAGAAGAAAAACGAATAAAAAGCCTAAATTTGCAGAGAGAAGCTGATAGAAGCACAAAAGAATCGAGTAGAATACCTAAAAACAGCAGAAAGATAGTTGAAAAAGCAGAAAAAATAAAATTATCAAATAGGAAGTTGAAGGAAGCTAAAATTAGCACAAAAATAAAAAAGCAGAACCAAAACAAAAATGTGAAAAGTACAGGAAAGATTAACCTATTTTGAAGGATTTTAAGGATGCTGATGACAGCTCCATTCATTTATAATGAGAACAAAAATTGCAGAATAAATAAATATTGCAAAAATTATAAATAGCAGAATTACCAAAAGTCATAGCTAGAGTGTCCTGAAGGAGCTGAGAGTTTTGAAATATAAATTGTTGAAGTAGCACAAAAATGGTGGAACAAGATATTTATTTAGACAGAGAAGTATTTTAGAGTACATGGCTGTATTTGGTCATTAATGAAACTTAACTTGGCTTACATTTAGGGTTGGGCATAATCGTAACGTATGCAATTAATCATCAGAAAAACATTAATTGATTACTTTTTGTCACTTGACAATTAATACAATTAATGCCACCAGACAGAGTCCGCTCGGTGCTCCTCTCAGCTTCAAATATGACGAACATTTAAACAAAAGTTCTGTAATTTATTTATCTATCGACACAATTTAAAATTTGATGTAAAGCCTAAAGTCTGTAATTTTGACACAGTTTGGAACAGATTTTTCCGAAGAGCAAATCTTTCCCACAAAATTGGTCATGTGACCAGGACATAAGGGTGCCCAGGGACTCCAGGGGATTAATCGTCAAATTAATCGTTATCGGCTAAATACCACAATTAATCGTGATTAATTTTTTGCCAATATTGCCCAACCCTACTTATATTTCATCGCTTGTATATTCTTTTTTTTTTTATCTGAGTAAATTTTTCCTGCCAGTTTAGAAGCATAAAGGAGCATTTCTGACTACTGCAGTGGAGCTGTAGGCAACTTAGTAACATATTTCTTAAGCTCCCAGTTTTTTTTTACTGCTTTTTCTTTAATCATTGTATGATTCATTACAGGAAAACAGGTGGGTCTATGTTCACACAAAGTGATTAAGGAAGTGACTAAAACAAAAACCAGACGGCTCCTGACCTTTAAACATTAAAGTTCGTTTGTTATTTGACCTCAYATGCATAAAAGTCCTGTTGCTGCACCACCTGCCTTATATATGCCATTAAGAAAAAAAAACATTTTTCTTAATGGTAATATATATTTTCTCTTTGAGTTACAGGAGCTGGAAGTCATCCCAGATCTGGTGGGAGACAACGCCAGGTATTTGTTGAAAGAGTGGAACTTCATCCAGGTTTCTGTGAGTTTCTGCTTTAAACACAATCCATGTAAAAAGTCAAGATTAGTTCTTGGAGGTGTAGATCTTATCTAGTTTTATTTATTGCTATTTGTCTGCAGGTTAATTCTTCCTGTCTGTCTGAAGTGGAAGCTATAATTGTGGCTTTGGAGGCAACAAATCGAGCTCTTCTCCACCCTCCAGTTGTCATTTGGGTGAGTTTATTCTTGGATTTTACAGCCCTGTTAGCAGACGGTTATGGAGAGCCGTTTTAGCCAAAATTAAATAAATAAATAAATGGGTGAAATAAATAAAAAAATGAGTAAAATAAATCAAAAAATGAAGAAAATGAGTGAAATAAATTAAAAATTGGGTTCATGAAAAAGCTAAGTTATTTAT